TGTGAATAGTAACACAACTAAGAAACAGAATCGCGTACAGGTTCCAGGTATATCGTGGTTCCAGATGATGCTGGCCATAGAGGCAACAGTGAGGTGTATGTTGGAACTCTTTGCTTTTTTTTTTGCAATTTTCCTGTAAATCTATAATTACTCCAAAATAAAACAGTTTACTTTGAAAATAGGCATGATCCAAGAAACTTAAACATGGATTCGACATGCACTGAGCACCTGCTGTATGCCCAGTACTGGCAGACCCAGCAGGGAACAAGACAGATAGGAAACACCTGCTCTTCTGGGGCCCCATGTGCTGGTGAAATTTATATTCTAGCTGTTAATTACTTTCCATTCTTTGGGGGTGGGGTGGGGCATTCTCTTTCCATTTTATACATTATGTATTGTTTGGATTTTTGCTTGAAAAGCACTGTTATTTTGCCAGCAGAATAAATGCAAACTTCCTCCTAACGTATCTGTGGTCTGAATGTAAACATGGGAAGCAAAGACCTCATCACAGATCCAGGGCAGTGATTGTTTTCTGGGGAGACGGGAAGAGGAATGGAATTGGGGCTCAGGGACAAGGGAGTGTCAGGCAGGGGGCTTCAACTTTATCCCTACTGTTTTCCTTTCACAGAAAAGGAAAAAAAAAATTATCTGAAGCAATTAGGACCAAATGTTAACATTTGCTTCTTCATGTGGCAGGTCTGGGGGTGTTTGAGGGATTATCTTCTATGCTTTCTGTATTTTTTTGAGATCACACAAAATTATAATATTTATTATCATATCGTATTACCTGGTCTTTAAAGAAACGTTGGAAAATACTGAAAAGTACAAGGAAATGATTACATTCGTCTGCCTAGAGAGTGACTCTTCAGTAATTTTTTTCCATTAATTTTTCTATGCCTACATGTGTCTTCTGAAAAATGGTATGCTATTGACACCATTTTTTTTTTTTTTGGCCATGCTGTGCATCACGCAGAAATCTTAGTTCCCTGACCAGGGATCAAACCCATGCCCGCTGCAGTGGAAGCGTGCAGTCTTAACCACTAGACCGCCAGGGATATTCCCTACTGATATAATTTTTTAAGTGTGTCAAATGTTAACATTTTCTATATCTTTTAAATTAAAAAGTACAAAAGCACATGCACATGAAAAGAAATCAGGCTTCTTGCGGAGTGTGTACTGAAACTTGTGAACCCTTGGCTATATCTCTCTGGTCACCTCTGGGGTTCCGAGTAAACTCTTTTCCCTCCATTCACTCAGGGGAGCCTGCTTCTGCTGATTTTCTGTGGAGGTGGATCAGGATTTGGCTCTGAGCCTCCCTCCCCCTCCACTCCTGCCTTGCTTCCCAACAACAACGTCAATCCCATGGCTGAGTTCCTCCCTGCCCTCCCCACCCCTCTCTGCCCCAGCTCTCACCACTCCTCTGGCCTTCTCACCCTTCCCGGAATAGGAGCCCTCGCTCTGACTTCAGGGCTTTGGCACTTGCTGTTCCATTTTCCTAGAAGGCTGTTCCTTCTCCAGCTATCACCGTGGCTCCCTCCCACTGTATTTAAGTTCCTTTAACTTATCTAAAAAGCATCCCTCCCACCCCCATCCTGACTCCCTCTTAACTTGCTGTAGTTTTCTCAGTAGCCCTTATCAAGGCCTGATGAACCAAACTCTGCTTATCTTGTTTTCAGTCTGTCTCCCCACCCGAATGGGGTCTGAGGCAACAAGAACTGTCTGCAGTCAGTGGTGTTTAATGCTGTTTCTCTGGCTTTTAGAATCTGGGGCCCACAAAGGCAGCTGCTCAGGAATTATCTGGGGAAGGATGGAATGAAGGGACTCGCTTGCACGACACAACCTTCCCTCCAGTCTGAATGTGCAGCTTCCCCCCACCCTCCTGGCTTCATCCCTAACTCCTTTACAGCTTGCTTCAGATCTAAACTTTGTTGTTGTTGTTTTCTTTGTTTTTTGGCCAAGCTGCGTGGCATGTGGGACCTTAGTGCCCCCACCAGGGATTGAACCTGTGCCCCCTGCATTGGAAGCAGGGAGTCTTAACCACTGGACCACCAGGGAAGTCCCAAATGTTGTTGTTGTTTTTGATAATCTGTCCAGGACTCTTGGAGATATGTCAATGTGTGCATCTCCTTCATGTTGGGGCCACTGCGCACAAGTCACACTAAGGACAGTGTGTTCTGACCTCAGGGCCTTTGCACTTGCTGTGCCCTCCACTGGCCCACTCTCCCCCACCTTCTTGTCCTTGAGCACTTGGCTTCAATGCCACTTCCTCAGACGACCCTGACACCCTGACTCAGCACACACACCCAACACCTAGTCCCCTGTCTCTACTCTTGTCAAGTCCCCCGCCCCCCAAGGAATTCCCACGAAAGCAGGTCTGGGTGGACAACAAATGTCCACTCGATGGGGTCAGAAGGGGGGCAGGCGGTTAGCATTACTTCTGACAAGCACGGTCAGTGAAGGGAGGTGTGCGCAGATTGGTACATGTCGTGAGGAGAGCCTGAGGTGGGAGGTATCAGGAGCTAATGGCCTGGAGCTACGGAGTGTGGACTCGATCTGGAGGGTGACAGGTTTGCAGGATAGGGTCCAAGCTGTGTTTTTAAAAGGTCAGTCTGGAAAAAAGCACGTCACAGACAGATCTATATCGCCTGTCTCTCTGTATCTATTATTATTATTATTATTTTGGCTGCACGGCATGTGGGGATCTTAGTTTCCAGACCAGGGATCGACCCCACGCCACCTGCAGTGGAAGTGCAGAGTCTTAACCACTGGACTGGCAGGGAAGTCTCATTACTATATCTATTTGTATCTATCTATCTGTATATCCATGTAACTACATCTATCCATCTATTTATCTGTATCTCTATCCATTTATTTTTATCTATCTGTCTGTCTATCTACCTATCTATCTGTATATCTATCCATTTATCTATATCCATCTATCTGTATCTCTATCTATCCATCCCTTAATTTTTATCTATCAATCTGTCTATCACACTATATCTTGATACAAAACTACAAGTGCTTGGTTGCTACTCACCAAGAAGAAATAATTCTGGCGCCCACAGGAAAAAAATTAAGAGTGGTTTCTTCCAGGGATGGTTGCCCTGGGAAATTATCAATTTCTACTTTACTGAATTCATCTTTAAAAATTAAAAGCTAGTAAAGATTTTGTAATCAGGAAAACAGTATTTACCTAAATAACCATTCTGATGGAGGCACAGATGATTGTTGATAGAGGGTGAGCCTACAGTGAGGGGGACATCCCACCCCCCCAAGTGGCTGGTATAGTTGGGTCAGCCCTCCAGGATGGCTGTTTAAAGGTGGTTGAGTCAGGGGGCTCTGCAGCCATCTGCCTGAGTTCAAATTCCAGCTCCTCTGCTGTTATTTAGCTGTGTGACTGTGGGCTAGGGGCTTTACCTCTCTGTGCCTTATTTCTTCATCTTTTTTTTTTTTTTTTTGCAGTACGCGGGCCTCTCACTGTTGTGGCCTCTCCCGTTGCGGAGCACAGGCTCCGGACGCACAGGCTCAGTGGCCATGGCTCACAGGCCCAGCCGCTCCGCGGCATGTGGGATCTTCCCGGACCGGGGCACGAACCCGTGTCCCCTGCATCGGCAGGCGGGCCCTCAACCACTTTGCCACCAGGGAAGCCCTATTTCTTCATCTTTAACACGGGTGATGTTACAGTTATTCAGTACAGAGTGTCGTGTACTGGCACCAAAAGTCCTGTCACAGATGGAACATGCAGCAGAGGACCTTGTTCATAGCCAGCACCCCCTATAAGCTAGCTGTCACTGCTTGTTATTATTATCATTACTATTATGTGTATTATTATTATAGACTAGGGCAGTGGCAATTTGGAGAAACTGAACACGTTTAAGAGGCAGAAATAAGAAGTTGGGGGACCTACTCATCCCAGTTTGCCGGAGACTTTCCTGATTTTAGCACAGAAAGTCCCACATCCCGGGAACCCTCTCAGTCTCGGGTAAATCAGAAGGATAGTTGGTCACCCTAAGGTAAATCTTGGGACCCAGTGGTTAGAGGGAGGAATCTCTGGCAACTTCCAGCTTTCAGGTCTGGAGAATGAGAACCCAGACCCAAGGAAGAAGCTCAGGGAGAGGAACCATTTTTGGGGAAGTGGACAAACCCGAGCGTGGGTACATTGAATTTGAGGGGCCCCTTGCTTGTCTGGGTGGGAGAAGACAGGTTTCCCTGTGGGGATCACGGGACAGAGGTCCCAGTATCTTATTCTGAAATATTTCGAACACACAGCAAAGTTGGAAGAATTGTCCAGCGAACAGCCACACACTTGCTCCTAGATACTGCAATTAAGATTTGCATATATTTGCTTTAGTATCTATCCATCCGTTCACTCATCTATCTTACTCTTTACCTATTTTAATATGTTGCGGACATCTGCACACTTCCCTGCCAAGGCTTCTGTGCTCATACCATTAACTAGAATTCGATATTTGTTTACAGTTCTTTTCTCTGATGTGAAATTTACATACAATGATATGTACAAGCCTTAAGTGTACACTGGGCAAGTTCTGATAAACCTCAGCTACAGTCATGAAAGAAAGAACTTACTCAACCCCCGTGAGATTCAAAACAAAAAATAGAAGTAAATGGAGGCAGCTCTGGTTCTGCTACTTGCAAAGCTCTGTAACCTGGAGGGAGTGTCTTAACCTTTATGGGCTTCAGCTTCTCATCTCTAAAATGGGAAGAGTAAGGGTGCCTGTCTGAGATCTGATTGTGGCTGTCGTGGGTATTGAACACGTGAATTCGTGTAGAAATACTGAGGAGTGCCTGGCATGTAAGGAGTGCCTTGAGGGACTTCCCTGGTGGCCCAGTGGGTAAGACTCCCATGCTCCCAATACAGGGGGCCCGGGTTCGATCCCTGGTCGGGGAACTAGATCCCGCATGCGTGCCACAAGTAAGAAGTCTGCATGCTGCAACTAAGAGTATACATGCTGCAACTAAAGATCCTGCATGCCTCAGCGAAGATCCCGTGTGCCGCAACTAAGACCCGACACAGCCAAAATAAATGAATAAATATTAAAAAAAATTTTTTAAATGCCTTGAAAACACTTACTTATAATATTACCCAGTTGGAACAGTGAAAAGAATTACTCTTGGTGGAAGAAGAAATAAAGAGGTAAGAATATTGCTGAAAAATTTCAAAGATGGCCATCAGAGGAACCTAAGCATGGGATCTACACTGGTGTGGAAGGCAGGTGGAAGGAAAGGGTGGCTGTGAGCTAAATCCTGATCCACTGCTGCAGAAAATCAGCAGATGAGAGCTCCATTCACCTGTGCGTGATTAGAGGGAGAGGAGCGTATTCAGTATTCAGAATCGTGGAGATGCCCAGAGAGGAAGCTAAGACTTCATGCCCTGCAAAAGGTCTCATTTGTTTTAATCATGTGCATGTGTTTTGTATTTTTTTTAACGTGCTTTTGTATTTTAATTTAACTGTAATTTGAAAAACATAGTCAAGATTCTGACCCCTGCTCCAAATGGATGGATCTTGAAGACATTATTATACTCAGTGAAATAAGGCAGTCAGCAAAGGTCTGTATGATTCCACTTCTACAAGGTCCCTAGGGTGGTCAGATTCATAGGGACAGAAAGTAGGATGGTGGGTGCCAGGGGCTGGGGGAGGGGGAATGGGGTAATGTTTAATGAAGACAGTTTCAGTTTTGCAAGGTGCAAAGAGTTCTGGAGATGGATGGTGGTGATGGTTACACAACAACGTGAACGTATTTAATGCCACTGAACTGTACACTGAAAAATGGTGACGATGGTAAATTTTATGTTATTTGTATTTTACCAAAGTTGAAAAAAAAGAAAAACCAGAAAAGCACAGAAGATAATCCTAAAACACCCCTCTACCATCACATGAAGAGGCAAATGTTGTAATTGCTTCAGATATACATTTTCCTTTTTATGAAAGAAAAAAAAAACTAGTAGAGATAAAGTTGAAGTCCTCTCCCCCTTGTAATTTCAATTAAAAAAATCCTAAATAGTTTACAGTGAGAAGTCTCCTTCCCATTCTGGTCCTCCGCTTTGGAGGGAACAAAAGTTACCAGATTTTTGTGTCTCCTTCCAGAGCTGGTTAATTGATTTCAGGATGGTAACCTTTTTTTTCTTTCTTAATTTATTTATTTTTAATTTTTGCCTGCGTTGGGTCTTTGTTGCTGCGCGCAGGCTTTCTCTAGTTGCCGTGAGCGGGGGCTACTCTTCATTGAGGTATGCGGGCTTCTCATTGCGGTGGCTTCTCTTGTTGCGGAGCACTGTCTCTAGGCGTGCGGGCTTCAGTAGTTGTGGCACGCGGGCTCAGTAATGCGGCTCGTGGGCTCTAGAGCGCAGGCCCAGTAGTTGTGGCGTAGGGGCTTACTTGCTCCGTGGCATGTGGGATCTCCTGGGACCAGGGCTCGAACCTGTGTCCCCTGCATTGGCAGGCAGATTCTAAACCACTGTGCCACCAGGGAAGCCCTGGGCTGCTAAATTTAAGTTGAAAAGTCATATGATAATTTGGTTGAATTAAGAAGCAGTATTGGAATGTTTAAAAGAACATATTTCAAACTCCTATTTATTTGTTTAATTTTTAGATTTGTAACAACGCTAAGGACTTCAGAAGCATTTGCTTGGTGGAGGGATTTAAGATTAAAGAATCAAATATAACACTTTTATAAATGCCATCTGCAATATTTAAGAGATTTCAACCCACTACATTTCTAAATGGACCCAAATATGTACCCAATGACCTCTCTGAAAGTGATGGTCCACTTTGCCAGGTGTATAAGTAACATAATAGCTGTAATTGGAACCGAAGACTTAAGAGAAACTCTGTTTTTAAAGGTATAATTTAAACTGACTGTATACTTGCAAAGTAACCACAAAGATGGATTTTTCTAGGCACCAAAGCTGCCCCAGATCCAGACATCATCGTGAGTTTGTTTGATTTGAGGAACGCAAAGACCAGTGTGGTTCGAGCAGAAGGAGCCAGGGGAAAAGTGGGAGGAAACGAAGGCAGGGAGGTAAGGGGTGCGTGCGAGTGCTTTGGGGGCTGCAGGGAAGAGGGTTTTTATCCCCAGGGAGGAGGGCGCCGCGGAGAATTCTGAGCAGAGGTGGGACTAATCAACAGGTTTTGCATAATTTCCACCAGCTGTTGGGCTGTGGACCACAGCTACGTGGTGGGTGCTACCGGTGGGAGAAACCGGATCCTGTTGGTTTCCCCCAAACCCGGTAAACAAAGTCTGAGAATCTTGACCTCGGAAGCTCCCCGGGACCCCCAGCAGAATGCCGGGCGCCCTCCTCAGACTCTTGACCTGTCCACTGCTGCTTCCGCGTGGGCAAATCCTGAACTGCAGCAACGTCCTGCAAACCGTGTTTCCTTTTTGGTGCGCAAAGGCCCCCTTGTGTGGGGTGTGGAGGGTCGGGCAATGGAGCCAGCCGAGGTCTGCCTCACCCCCCACCCCAGAAGCTCCCGGGGGGAGGGATGAGTGAGCTACACAGGGATTCAGATGTTTGCAGGATAATCTGATGAGCAGCCCGCGTCTCAGAAAATTGCAAACCAGATTCTCAGAGGAGGGGTCTTTGGGCAGAGTCTCCAAGGACCAGTAGGAGTTTTTTAGGAAGGCACAGTAAGAAAAGACATCCTAGGCAGAGGGAAGGGTATGTATAGAGCAAGGTCAAAACTAAAATCCTGATCTAACTTACCCCCCCGCTTAACTGCTCCTTTCAACCTGGGTCATGGGGTCACCATGTGAGCCCCACACCTAGTACTTATCCTGAATGTGTCTCTTCCTCTCACTCCCCCCATCCCCATGGCCATCACCCAGGGCCAGACAGCCATCACCTGGGCCATAGTTGTCTGTCCTAATTGCCTTCAATTCCTAGTCATCCATCCCAGTCCCAAAAGAATCTCTCTCCATCTCTCCCCTGCTCACACACCTCCCATTGCTCCCTAGTGCTCTGGAGGTCAAGTCCAAGCCATTCAGCCTGGCATCTGAAGTCGTGGAAGACCTGGCCCTGCCTGCTCCACCATATAGTTAGCATGAACAACACATGAACAATAATAACAAAAATAATAATAACAGCAAATACCCACTTTACATGCTGCCAGGCTGTGGGTCATGCAGTATAAAGGCAGTTTCAGGGAGTTCCCTGGTGGTCTAGTGGTTAGGATTCTGGGCTCTCACTGCCATGGCCTGGGTTCAATCCCTGGTTGGGGAACTGAGATCCTACAAGCCATGCGGCACAGCCAAAAGAAAAAAAAAAAAGGCTCTTTCACAACAGCCTTATTATCCCCGTTTTACAGAAGGACATTCTGAGGTTCAGAGAAGTCAAGGGACTTGTCCAAGGTCACTAGCATGCCTGTGAACTCAGTTTTTTCCAACTCCAAAGCAGAGGCTTAACTCCAACTCTGTCCGCTCCATGGCACATCTCTGGTGTGATAGGTTTAACTTCTTTGCTATTCCTCTGTCTTAGCTCAGGCTGCTATAACAATACCACAGACAGGGAGGCTTGAAGCAGACATTTATTTCTCAAAATTCTGGAGGCTGGGAAGTTATGGAAGATCTTGACACTAAGATCAAGGTGTCAGCCTATTCAGTTTTTGGTGAGGGCTCTCTTCCTGTGTTGCAGACGGCTACCTCCTCTTTTTTTTTTTTTTTGGCTGTGGCTTGCAGCATGTGGGATCTTATTTATCCAACCAGGGATTGAACCTGTGGCCCCCTCAGTGCAAGCATGAAGTCTTAAGCACTGGACTGCCAGGGAAGTCCCCCATAAGGGCTTTATTCTACCTTGAGGGCCCCACCCGCATGACCTCATCTAACCCTAATTACCTCCCAATGGCCTCAACTCTAAGTACCATCATATTGGGGGTTAGGGCTTCAACATAAAAATTTCTGAGGGATGCAAATATTCTGTCCATAGCATCCTCCCTTCGGATAGTGGGGCCTCATTCCCCTTGCCTTGAGTGTGGGTCAGACTTTAGTGAAGCACTTAAAAAAAAAGACAAACTTTTTATTTCGATACTCTTGTAGATTCACATGCAGTTTTAAGAAATAATACAGAGATTCAGTATGACCTTCACCCATTTCCTCCCAATGGTAACATCTTGCATAACTCCAGTGCAATATCCCAACCAGGAAATTCATACAATCACTGACCTTATTCGGATTTTACCAGATTTACATGCACTGGTGTGTGTACGCACACGAGTGTGTGTGTTTAACTCTTTGCAGTTTGTCACATGACTAGATTTGTGTGACTACTACCACAGCCAGGATACATAACAGTTCCATCACAAGGGTCCCTGGTGCTACCCTTTTGTAGTCCCTGTCACCTCCCCCTGCCAACCCCTGGAAACCACTCATCTATTCTCCACGTCTACAGTTTTGACATTTCAAGACTGTTATAAAGTATATCCATTCAATGAAATATTATTCAGCAATAAAAAGAAATGAAGCACAGATACATGCTACAACACAGATGAATCTTTTTTTTTTTTTTTTTTGCGGTACGAGGGCCTCTCCCTGCTGTGGCCTCTCCCGTTGCGGAGCACAGGCTCCGGACGCGCAGGCTCAGCGGCCATGGCTCACGGGCCCAGCCGCTCCGTAACACGTGGGATCCTCCCGGACCGGGGCATGAACCCGTGTCCCCTGCATCGCCAGGCGGACTCTCAGCCACTGCGCCACCAGGGAAGCCCAACACAGATGAATCTTGAAAACGTTATGCTAAGTGAAAGAAGCCAGTCACAAAGGACCACGTATTGTAGGATTCCATTTATGTGCGATATCCAGAATAGGCAAATTTATTGAGACAGAAGGTATATTAGCGATGCCTAGGGCTGTTGGATTGAGGGTAGGGGGTGGGGTGCCAGGGATAAAAGGGGCTGACAGCTAACGGTGCAGGGTTTTTATGGAAGAATAATGAAAATGTACTGAAACTGATCGTAGTGATGGTGCACAATTCTGTGAATATACCAAAAGCCATTGAATTGTACACTCTACATGGGTGAATTGTATGGTATGTGAATTCTATCTCAAGTGGTTTAAAAAGAGAGCATTGTATAACTGGAATCATACAGTATGTAATCTTTGACATTGGCTTCTTTTTTTTCACCCAAAACAAATCTCTTGAGATATGTCCAAGTTGTTGCTTGTATCAATAGTTTCTTTTTATTTTGACTAGTATTTCATGGCTTGTACCAGTTTGTCTAACCATTCACCCGTTGAAGAACATTGGGGTTGTTTCCAGTTTGTGGCTATTACAAATAAAGCTGTTACGAACATTTATGTACAAGTTTTTGAGTGAATTTAAGTTTTCATTTCTCTAATATAAATGCCTAAGAGTGTAACTGTTGGGTTATATGGAAAGCACATATTTAGTTTTTTAAGAAATCACCATACTCTTTTCCAGAGGGGCTGTACCATTTAACATTCCCACCACCAAAGCACGAGTGATCTGGTTTCTCTGCATCCTCACCAGCATTTGGTGATATTGCCTTTTATTATTTTAGCCCTTTGAAAGGGGCACAGTGATGTCTCATTGTGGTTTGAATTTGCATTTTCATAATGGCTTATCATGTTGACATTTTTTTTTAATGTGTTTACTTACCAACTTTATGTCCTTTCACATAAAATGTCTGTTCATGTCTTTTGCCCATTTTCTAATTGGGGTCTTCTTCTTCTTCTTTTTTTATTTTTAAATAGTTGAGTTTTGAGGGACTTCCCTGGTGGCACAGTGGTTAAGAATCTGCCTGCCAATGCAGGGGACACAGGTTCGAGCCCTGGTCCAAGAAGATCCCACGTGCCGCGGGACAACTAAACCCGTACGCCACAACTACTGAGCCTGCGCTCTAGAGCCCACAAACCACAACTACTGAGCCTGCATGTCACAACTACTGAAGCCCGCACACCTAGAGCCCGTGCTCTGCAACAAGAGAAACCACTGCAATGAGAAGCTGGCGCACCACAAAGAAGAGTAGCCCCTGCTCGCAGCAAGTAGAGAAAGCCCGTGAGCAGCAACGAAGACCCAATGCAGCCAAAAAATAAATAAATAAAATTTATAAAAAAATAAAAATAGTTGAGTTTTGAGAGTTCTTTATATATTCTAGATAAGAGTCCTTTGCAATATGTGTTTTGCAAACATTTCCTGCCAGTCTGCAGCTTGTCTTTTCATCTTCTTGCCAAGGTGTCTTGCAGAGCAAATAATTTTATACTTTTGATGAAGTCCAATTTATTGGTTTTTCCTTTTATGGATCTTATTTTTGGTATCAAGTTTAAGAACTCTTCACTAGTCCTAAGTCCCAAAGATTAGATTTTCTCCTAAAAGTGTTATGGTTTTATGCATTACATTTTCATTTCATCCATAATTTGAGTTAATTTTGGTACAAAGTGAAAGATTTAGATAGTGCTTCTTCCCTCTTTCTCCCATAAATGTCCAGTTGCTCCAGCATTATATGTTGAAGAGTCTATCCTTTCTCCATTGACTGTTTTTGTGTCTTAAAAAAATATCAGTTGGGCATATTTTTGTGGGTCTATTTCTGGGTTCCCTATTCTACTCCATTGTTTTAGGTATCTATCCTTTTACCAGTACCACCATATCTTGATTTCTGTAGCTGTACAGTAAGCCTCAACATTGGGCAGAGTGATCCCTTCTATTTTATATTTTTTCCAAAATTGTTTTCAGCTATTCTGTGACCTGTGCAATTCCATATAAATCTTAGAACAAGTTTGTCTATGTCTATGCAAAATCTTGCTGGAATTTTGACAGAAATTACTTTAAACTTATCTATCAAGGGGAGAATTGTCATGTTTACTATGTTGAGTCTTCTAATCCATGGACATGGTATATCTCTTCATTTATTTAGGTCTTTGATTCCGTCAGTATTTTGTAATTTTCAGGATACATATCCTGTACATGTTTTGTTAGATTTACACCTAAGTATTTAATCTTCTTTGTTGCAATTGTTAATGGTATTCTGTTTTAAATTTTGGATTCTATTGGCTCACTTAAATTAAAAAAAAAATTTTAAATTGAAGTATAGTTGATGTACAACATTATGTAAGTTACGGGTGTACAGTATAGTGATTCACATTTTTTAAAGGTTATATTTAATTTATAGTTATTATAAAATATTGGCTATGCCCCCTCTCTTGTACAATGTGTCTTTGTAGTATATTTTATTTTATTTATTTATTATTTTTTTTTGGCTGTGCTGCGTGGCTTGCGGGATCTCAGTTCCCCAACCAGATATTGAACCTGGGCCATAGCAGTGAAAGCCCGGAATCCTAACCACTATGTCACCAGGAAACTCCCACCTTATAGTATATTTTATACACAATAGTTTGTACCTCTTAATTTTTTCCTTGGGCATCTGCAGTCACTTTCTAAATTCTGCCATATATCTGGTTGCCTGTGAGTATTGTAATCCTTAAATCAAAAAGGTGAAAAAGGGAAAAAGAAAGAAACAAAAAACACAGATACTGTTCCTTAAAATCTCCTGGAAGTCACTTCGGCTGGTAGGGGTTGAAACAATGCTAGCCAGCCTCAGTGTCTGCACCTCAGTGATCAAAAGTAGTAATCAGCCATCAGAACATAGAACCCAGATAATTGGAGGACAAGGTCTTTTTGTCCCACCCTGGGTTTAGCAAGCCACACCTGGCATAGGTGCCACTGTCTCCAAAGCTGTCTGCCATGGGCTGAGTGGTGGGGGATGGGTAGTCACTCTTGCACTAAAGGCTGAAATTGACTGAAATTGCTGCAGTGGAGTAGCCAAGATTTCCCATGGAAGCCACTAATTCAAATAAGACTCCATTGTTTCAAAAGAGTTAACTTCAGAGAGTTTGTGGCAGTACAATTATTGTCTACATGGAGAATCAGGTACCTGGTGCTTCCTTCTCCACCATCATCCCTGACATCATTTTCTACACAGCTGCTTTTCTCTTTTCCTTTGGCCTGCCACTCGGCTTGCAGGATCTTAGTTCCGCGACCAGGACCAGGGATCGAACCCGGGCCCCCTGCCGTGGAAGCGTGGGAGTCCTAACTACTGGACGGCCAAGGAATTCCCTACACAGCTGCTTTGAATGTCCCAATATCTCAAAGAATCTCACTCCAGCGTCTCCTCCAGAATTTGGGCAGTCTATGGTATGTCTAAACTCCATAATCTCTTGCCCCAGATATTTGTGGGTCTCTACTCTGCTGTGCAGCTTTACGAGCAGTGCCTGCTGCTTTTCCTACCTGAGAGCTGAGTTAGGCTCAAGAGAGACCAGTGCCTTGCACCTGTCCTCCAAGCATCTCCCAAACAGGTTAGAACAGACTTACACAACAATTAGTGGGTAAGGTCTGCTTTGCTCCCTACAGTTCAAGGGCCAGTTTCCTAAAATTGGGCAATGGGCTACTGTCACAGCCCAAAGGGAAGAAAGGCAGAGGCCACAGTAGAAAGGGAAGATGTCTCTCAGAGACAGAACTGGCCAACGTAAGGGATCAAAGATCCCATCAAGAGACTGGTCCAGCAGAGGTGAGGTCTGTCTGAATTCAAACTCCCTTGGCACCTAAGGCTGGCAAAAAATGTCTAGACTTAAGGGAGTTGGAGGATGGGCTTTGTAAAAAAAAATTATTTTATTCAAATATAATTGATTTACAATGTTGTGTTAATTTCTGGTGTACAGCAAAGTGATTCAGCTATATATATATATATATATATATATACACATATACACACACACATTCTTTTTCATATTCTCTTCCATTGTGGTTTATCACAGGATATTGAACGTAATTCCCTGTGCTATATAGTAGGACCTTGTTGTTCATCTGAGGATGGCGTTATAGCATCTACAGTCCAGTCAGAAGAGACAAGCCATCTTTGTTATATTAATAAGGAGGATTTAGACTTCCCTGGTGGCGCAGTGGTTAAGAATCTTCCTGCCAATGCAGGGGGCACGGGCTTGATCTCTGGTCTGGGAAGATCCCATATACCACAGAGCAACTAAGCCCGTGCACCACAACTACTGAGCCCGAGTGCTGCAACTACTGAAGCCCGTGTGCCTAGAGCCTATGCTCTGCAACAAGACAAGCAACCACAATGAGAAACCCATGCACTGCAACGAAGACCCAATGCAGCCAAAAAAAAAAAAAATTTTAGTTTTATTGGAGTATAGTTGATTTACAATGTTGTGTTAGTTTCAGCCGTACAGCAAAGTTATTCAGTTCATATACATATATCCATTCTTTTTTAGATTCTTTTCTCATATAGGCTATCACAAAATATTGAGTAGAGTTCCCTGCGCTATACAGTAGGTCTTTGATGGTTACCAATCTTAAGTATAGTATAGTAGTAGTATCTTATATCTGTCTATCTATATATAGTTTCAATTTTAGAAACATGGAAGATGGGTCTTGTGGGGTTGGAACACAGAGTCCTGAGAGAGGGAAAGAGGGGTGCAGCTTGACTGGTGCTTGTTTCTCTGAGGAGCCTCAAGGAGGCTGGTTCTGCGAGTGATGAGAAAACTACCAGCTGGAGTTAGAAGCTGATGCTAGGACGACGTGCCTCTGCCAGGGTGAAGAAGCTGGTTTGACCAGAAACTGGAAGAATCAAGTCCCTTCTCCCGCCTACAGCCTTTCAGGCTCTCTGTCACCCTCTATTGGTAGCCTTTAAGAGGGAGCCTGCACCAAGGCAGAAACATGGTTTGCTGAGACCCAGTTCCAGCAACACACACAAAAATCTGTAGGGATGAGATTGAAGCTGAGAGACAGTAGCTTAATAAGTGATTCCTACTCTGCTTGAAGGATACAACCCCCTGAGGAGGTGGTAAATCACATATTTTCAGGTGCTGCTGAAAATTTGTGTTACAAATGACCTGCTCAATTCAGTAAAAACTCATATGTGTACTGTCTTTTGTAAGAAGAGCATCCATCTGATTTTTTTAGCCCCTTTCCTTGCCCTGGTAAAAGGTCCCCTCTCCTAAACTCTCATGGCTATCCCTGAGTTAGCCCCAGGATACCAGGTGACAGGTAAGAGAAAGGAAGTAGGAGATGAGGCAAAGGCTTCCCCAGAGATGTTTGTGAGCCATTCACACCTGGGGCCAGTGCTTGTCATGCCCATCCCAGTGAAGGCTCTGTGAAAATAAGGACCACTGCAAGGAGATGAACCTAGGGTAGAGTTCTGCCCACAGAAGAGGAATCGGTTCAGGAAGAGGAGACCAAGCATCCTGGGGGTAAAGGAGATCCTGGAAATAAGAGTGAGGAGGAAGAATGTTGAAGCAGAGAGTAGGTTTCCAAAGAGACAAAGGCTAGGGCTCCAGAAGGAGGAATAGCAGGGTCCTGTGGTGTGGGGGATGGAAGACCAGAGTGGGAGGAGTTATGTAGGATGGAAGAGCAGGGTCCCAATTGGATAGAGTAGTAGGGAAGAGGAGAGCCACTGGGTTTCAGAGAAGATGAATGGGATCTAGAACAGGAACAAGTTAACTGTAGTATGTTTTAAAAAGTACTACAAAGCTACAATAACCAGGACAGTGTGGTACTGGCATAAGTTTAGACATATGGATCAATGGGACAGAATTGAGAGTCTAGAAATAATCCCCTACATTTATGGTCAATTGATTTTCAACAAATGGCCCAAGAAAACTCCATGGGGAGGGACTTCCCTGGTGGCCCAGTGGTTGAGAATCCGCCTTCCAATGCAGGGGACGTGGGTTTGATCCCTGGTCAGGGAACTAAGATCCCACATGCCAACTAAGCCCATGCACCACAACT